TATATTGCCTTTTTTTGTTGATAGATTGCATTTTGTTAAAGTAAAATTTAGTTAGGATTTATTTGATTTTATTTTTTGCTTTTGAGGTATGTGCTGTCGAACAATTGATGCATTACTATGAGTCACAGATCAGCATTTATTCAAATAATTATGACATTTTTCTCTTTATAAGAGAATATTTAAAATAAATAAATTAAACTAATTTTTTTTATAAATAAATTAAAATAAATATTTTTGATAAATAACAAATATTTAAGATAAATAAATAAGCACGAGGATCACGTATATAATTTTTAGTCAATCAAACAATTAGAATTTGGATTTATCGACTACATTAGATTTATAACATTAATGTCTTTAGAATAATAGATTGTGTTTGTTGGTACGAGTTTTTAGTCGAGCAAGACCCACCACACAATCATAAAACAACAACCAATGTCTATGTGTAAGTAGCTGAACCCAAATGTAGCCTAGCCTAGTCAATTGGATTGGATTATAGATGCATTCTTAAATCACATTTTATTAGAGGATGGAGGAACATGAGCATGATTCAATGTATCTATTGCTAATAGTAATATATAGCATTTTGATTTAGTGTTAAATAAAGATAAAAATATCATCCTTAATTATTTTTTTTAATTTTTTTTTTTAATATATAGTATGAATTCTAGAATCATACATAATTTCATACCTTTCATTATCACCTAAAGCCCAATAAATATGACATAAAATGATGGATTATTTCATTTGGATCAACCCTCATACATTTAACATATAGTTTAATTACTTTATAGGTTTGATATAATATGCTTCTATTATTTATACATATAGTATCTTGGTTATAATCATTTATTTGATTGTACAAATTAAATGCTAATAAAAATCTCTCAAAATTAATTAAAATCTTATTTTCAACTCCCACAAGCTAATTTTTTTTTATGAAGTAGTTAATATTTATATGATTTCATGATTAGTTTAATTTAATATATATATATATATACCAATAATATAGTTTCACTAGCATTAATGATGTGAGAAAGAATAGTCAGCTTTGTTAAAAGCTCACCCTTTGCTTCTAAATGAGAATATAATCCTCTAAAGCACCCTAATCTTTAAAAATGCCTCTTTTCCATTGATTTAAACCATGTTGAAATGCTTTCGGTAGTTGAAGGAATCAGCTTTCCTTTCAAGTTTTATAGCCTTAAGTTTATTAATTTTTTTACTTTCTTCTTGAGAGTCTTTTTTTTTATTATTTGTTTAAAAGGAATGGTCAGACACCATTACACGAGCCTCCAGCCACCCATAATTTGTCTAACGATTCGAATATCACATTCTTAAGGCTAACTGTGTCAGGGGGGAATCGAACCCCAACCTGAGGGGTCTTATACCGTGGATGTCATCTAACAAGTTGGGACACGTCGAACCCCAACCTGAGGGGTCTTATACCGTGGATGCCATCTAACAAGTTGGGACACATTGGGACACGCGGTACAATATATGGAGAAAATAATAGTAGCATTATTGGTTAATAATGCACTAATTAAAGCAACATAGAAAGGTTTTGAACAAGAATGGATTTGGCTATCTAGTCAATGGATTCTTATAACACATCATAATATTATTTACTTTAGACATGATAAAGCACAAGCTTAATCCACCAAAAAACAGCCAGTAGACAACTTTAAGAATCTAAACTCTATTTTCTAACACAATCATTCACACATAAACGTCACTTCTAGATCTACATCTTTTAAGTAATCAAGATTTGAATCTAAACTATAAAATTAGCCAATTAAATAATTTTATATTATTACCAAATAAACCTATAAAACAATTTATAACTACTATAAATCATGAAATTATAGAACACTCATGAATGCCCACAAAAAAAAAAAAAAAAAAGGTGGCTTTTTTTATTATGAAGGATCGAAAATAAAGGGAGCATCTTTGATCAATTTGCATGTTATTGTTATTAAGGTTGTTAGCATAAGAAAAATTATTAATAATATAGGTGTGTTTTATTTTAAGAAAATTATTATTATTCTTATGGTTTTGAAGCAATTTGAACCTAAGATTTAAGATTAGACTACTCAATAGAACAAATATATATATATATATATATATATATAGATATGTACGTTCATAACGGACTACTGCCTCCATAGCAATTTACAACGACACCAAAATCTATATATTTTATAAACAGGTTACAACTGTTATCAATGAACTACTGTTTTACATTTACATTAATCAAGTTTGTAACTACAACTTCTCCAATTTTATAAAAAAGTAGACCCATGTAGTCAAAATTACATAGTGGATTATTTTATTAAATTAGCATCATAAATCTTCTAACAATCATCATAAATGTAAAATTCTCTTTGTTATTTAAAAGAAAATAATTTTTAAATGAGTCAAACACGAGCCAAGGCCGGCTCGCTCAATCTCGAGATGTTTAGAGCCCTAGTTTTCAGTAGATGTACCTTAAAATTATGATGAGTATTGTTATAAGTTTAAGGATGATGAGTAGGAAAGCTTTTGGCCATCAGTTATCATGCCCTATGAAACTGTTTAATATATTAAAAATTTATAATTTTATTGTTTAACTCTCTCTTTTTCTCATCAATTTTAAACATATTAAACACCATCATTTCACCATTAATGTTGCTCATAAGTCATCATTTAATTATTATCAGTGATCGATGTCTAACTCTTATTAACCATTGATATTTGGTGCCTATACTCTTGATAGATTAATCTGTCATCCCGTTTGGATTGCAATAGAGTTGATTCACTGCCCTTGCCTAACCTTTAGTGATCCATGTTAGCCATTACCTAATGCTTATTAACAATTGATGTTCCATTTCTATTAGGTGTTGATTTTCAATAAACTATCTTTTTAGTTGATTGATTTTTTATGTTATCAAGAAATTGATTCAGTTGACCACCTATTATTTTACAACCTAAAATGCTCCTTATTGATTATCACTTAACAACAATTAACAAGTAAAACCTTACCCACGAGCATCTAATAACCATCTTCCCGTGTTTCCCTTCCTATATGAAGAAAGATTGAAATTTTCACCAAAAATCACATGATTTTTATAACCTTTCATCAAGAACCATTAGAAATTTACCAACAATTGATATTACTGCTTGTGATTAGCCAATGTCTGATGTGCATCATTCTGAATATTGTGTTTTATCTCTTATCAAAATAATTATTTAGTCAATCATTGATCAATGATAAGATCATTATATCTTACTACCCATCATTAATGGTGATAACTTGTATCCTTCAATATTGATAGTATCATTTTGATTAGTCTCAAAATTCATAATTTGAAACAGAACTAAATGATTTTCTATAAATCTTTTTAATGTTCTTGCTATTTTCCACAAATAAATGGTTAGTTGGTTGATTTAAAATCAAGAAGCATGATTAAATGGTAGCTTTGCTCCATTTAATTAATTTCACCATTTAATTGATTTCTCATTAAAGTTAAACCACTTCTTTAATTACAATTTAAATATAACATAAATTAAAATATTATCTATATATGACAAAACTACTTAACTATAGACCAAAAAATCATCATCACTACATGTAATGCATGCCTACAAGTACAAGCTTATGCACTTTATTGGATCATCCACTTAAATCACTTTCTCATGTGCTCATAATATACTTCAATTTGTTAATTCTATTGTTAATTATTCTTTGAAATAATAATCATTATCACCATCCTCTTAGTGGGATTCCATTAACACTTTCTTTACTAATGATAACCTTGTTTATATTCTTTCTTAGGCAGCTATATACATCCACTAACCTAATTAATTTGTAAGTGATTAGGCCTTAAAAGGAGATTGACTAAGGATAATACAGGTAACTCAGATATTAGGCCATATTATTATTGTGGTAAATTATTCCATATTTAGTGAAATGCAACAACAAATTATTATATTGACCCATTGAAAAAATTATGTACTTGTGTGTGTGTGTGCGCGCGCGCGTGTGTGTAAGGGTCGAAGGCTATGATACAAGCCCCCAGTCACCCTCATGATGCCTAACCATTCGATCTCGTATTGCAAGACAAATGCACGCAGGCGAAATCGAACCCGTGACCCCAAGTGATTTATGTGAGGCTGTACTACCAATGAGTCATGGTGAGTGGCACACACAAACACACCAACACACACACACACACACACACACTCACACACACACACACACACACACACACACACACATATATATATAGTTAAAAGATGACCCCAAGTGATTTATGTGGGGTCGAAGGCTATGATACGAGCCCCAGTCACCCTCATGTATCTAACAATTCGATCCCGCATTGCAAGACAAATGCACTCATGCGAAATCGAACCCGTGACCCCCGGTGACTTACGCGAGGCTGCACTATCAATGAGTCATGGTGAGTGGCACACACACACACACAGACAGATATATATATATATAGGATAGTTTTTAGAAAA